TGTCTATACTGAAGGATGCCTGTGGCCACACACATAACAGAACCAAGCCCTAGCTCCTGTAGGTTAGTCTGCAGGTGGCCATGCCTTTCAAAACCCTTCACAAGCAGTACCGACACTGCAAAAGCATTCTCTTTCCCAAGACATGAAATAACATTCAAGAGGCAATCTCTTTAAGCAACAAAATATCTGTCTAAAGAAATCACTCCTTGACCACAAGCCATGTATCTATCTAGAAAATCACTACATCCCTATCAAAAGATCTTGACAGCCATGATCTGCAGAGAAAGACATGGTCCAAATCAACACTGAACATCGGCAAGCAAGGCGAAAGACTGAACAAAAAAAGTCAACAACCTTTTAACGATGCGTTTGCTATGCTCAGCAATGTGTAGCTCCTTGTCTGAGCAATTGTTCTCTCGTTCCCTGACGATGGCCTCCCTGTGTGCAGTAACCTGCTCGCGCCTGCAGAAGAGTGCCAAATTCATTCAAGCGCTGGGCTACACTGCCACTGTCTGCACGTATGAAACACTGCAAAAGGGTGGCCTTGGGGAGTGCCTCAACAGGTTGCTGTTTACAATTAACACACTGAACATGCATTCCAGAGGCACTGGTTAAAACTGACCCAACGACCATGGACTGAGTACAAGACTTAAAACTCAAGGCATACTGAACATTCTTGTGGATTCTGATGTAGACAACATTTGGACAACATTTTGACACAATCTGAGCACATACTTACGATCAACGTTGCCTTGCAGATGCAAGCCCTGAGTAGTGCCACATTTTGATTGATGCAACATCTGGATTACCACCCAAGCAAGGTTGTTGACAGTCGGCATAACAACAGCCGACACGCCTTTCCCAGCTTTTCCTGCTCCGTGAATTCGGCCACTTGGCCACTTGCAATCCTTGCACCATCATTGTTCGTCAAAAAGGGATGAAGGACACCCTCAGCCAGTAAATTCTGTTGTTGCAGATTTGTTTGTTGGTGTTCTTGGTGCCATTGCAAATTGGCGGATCAGCACAGCATCCAACCACAAATAAGCAACAACTATAGGGAAGGAGACCAAGTGGTGTGCAGTTGTGCAGTACACAACTGTGGAAACGTTTCAAACATTGCAAATGTGTGAATCTTTGTTTCAAACAAACTGTTTCAAGGCAGATTGCTGTACATTACCATCGTGGACAGGAATTACAGAAGCAATTACCTATCCCACTTCTCATGCATCTCTGTGTCCATCTTGTTGAGTCTTTCCTGCCTGTGGAGCCATAAAAGAAGTCAGAATGTACAAGATTGAGCATCACCACAGTGCTGCTACGCGATATGTTCTCTGCTACTATGTTTCAACGTGTTCCATGCTCCTTACTTTGTACTACAGTGTCAAGTGTTACTGCAGAGTGTCTGAATCAACAAATGGCATACACTTGCAAGGCTTGCATGGCATATGTTTCCACTGTACTGGGTGCTAATGGACAAGTTGTGAAGCCAGGGCACCAAGCGCATGTCACTCTCACAACAGAAATACTATAGAATGTTCAAGAAGAATTTGGATCACAAATGCTTTGCGTGGATAACTGCCAGAGCCAGTCACAGGCATTCGATTTTTGCAGATCACAACACACTCGCAAATGACATGCCCTCCCAATAACCCACGCTGCAGCATTTGGCCTCAACTGTGCAGAGCAACCTCTGCCTCAGCTGGCGAACAAGTATACAGACAAGGCAGCAATGGCTTGACTGGCAGCAGCCGTTTGCTGACACTGGCATCGACTTTCTCAACGTGACATCCAAATGTACAGCATAAACAAAAGATATGCTGCATTGAAATGTACTTTAGCTGCAAGATGCAGGAACGATGCTGAGCAGCAAATATCACCAAGCTGGTGTCAAAAGCACACAAATATATCATGGCGGCCTTGAGAATGGGTGGAGAGCACCTGTCTGCGAGTTCATCTTGGAAGGCTGTCAAATTCTTCTCCTTGTCACGCAGGGTGTTGTGCTTCTCCTCCACAGCCAGTTCTCTTTCAACTAGGGTCTCCTCGCGGCTGCACAAAACAACATCATCCACATTTCACTTTTTGGAGGGAACTAGGCAAACTCTGTGATTGCAATATTATGTAAAACTCTGAGGACATAGCACTGAAGCAAAAGAATGTGCCTGCAAGTGCCTTGTTTCTGGGTCTGAGGGCAGTTCGATGATTTTTCCACGTTGGACAAGTGCGCCTATTTTGGGCACAAACATGGGGCTCCTATAATCTGATCAACATCGAAAGACAAGGGCACTGCATGATTGCCCAAGATTTTCAAAGCAATCAAAGCAAATGCACATGCAGCTAAGAACAATCATCACTCATCGAAGGCATCCTGGCACAACAACCCCAGTCCACAATGGCATAAGCTCAGCAGCGTTGACTCAGATGACAAGCCCCAGATCAGGAACCTGCCATCACGACACATGTTACAGTGCTACAGATTGAAAAATGGCAAGAAGCAGCCACAGGCATCCAAATACTTGTCTGCTGTTTCTTGCTAGCTCCCCAACGCTTTTAGTACTTCATGTACCCTCATGCTCAAAATAAAAATTCCGAGCTACCGGGTTCTCAGCAAAACTGTGTGGCAACATATTCTCTGGCCACACACCATTGCAAGCTTGCCACCAACCAGGCTTGCTCACCTACGACTCTCATCCAAAGTCTGCCGGGATTGCTGAAGAAATGTGGTTTCCCTGAGAACACCCCAGTGCACAGATCAGCACAGATGAAGTGGGGAGGAACTGGTCAAGCGAATTTGAGCGGACATTACATCATTCTGTGTCGAGCAAGTTCAAGACAGGCAACACACCACCTGCTGGCCCATCAGAAACAGCTCTGTGTAGTGTATGTTTGGGCCTTGAGTTCTTCGCCAATGGAAACCCTAAACTCGCTGGATAGGAACAAGCCCTGTGGTAACATTTGGTACCCGCGATCATCACCAGATATAGTGAATTGGCTTTGCCTCTTGTGACCTATGGAGTGAATAATACGGTCACAGGAGTTCCAGCAGCACAGGTAGGGGGAGCTGCAGTGCATCTGCCACAATGCCCTGTTGGGAAGATTAGAAGATGGGGTTGCCACAGGCTGGGGCTATCATCAGTGGGAACAACACATGGAAGGGGTCAAACCAGAGCATACAAGCTCGTGACAATGACCAGCAGCAAACATGGCCCAATATGGGTGACAGGCAAGCATTTTGGATTGACATTGTCACTGAGCCACAACAAGGCAGAAGAGCCAACAGTTTAAAAAAGGTGCGACAAGCAGGCGCGTTACCGCTGGGATAAAATCGTCTTCTCCTCTTGCAGCCTGGCCAGTGCCGCCTCCAGCTCAGCCTCCCTCCTGTCGCAGTCTGACTCACGAAGCCGCAAGGCAGCCTCTCGCCTGGGGGGAACAAAACAGCGAAGCCGTCGTCACACGCTCACAAATGAATGGCCACTCTCGCCTCACAAACACGCCAGGGGCAGTCCTCCATGGCCGGCTACTTCCAAAGCAGGCCAGCCACAGTGCCAGGGCGATTGACGGACAAGCGCTGGCGGCAAGGCCCCTCACAGAACGGCAGCAGTCGCCCTGGACGCCGTGATTTCAGAGTCGAGTTGTTTCAAGCCACACGCTTTAGTTGATGGACACCTCCTGTAGCAAATGCATCCTCCCAGGGATGTCATTTGGTGCGCTGGGAATGGGACTACTGCCACACCTTTTCACGTCTGTGAGCCATTCGCCCGCCATTTCTCGGCTTCTTGTGTACGCCCTGTCGTAGGCCTGGAGGGCAGTCTCGGCGCCCAGCTTGGCGCCCCGCATCCTGGCCTGCAGCCACCAGACAGGTGAGGGATGCGCTTTCAGCACAACGGGGCACCCCTTTCTTGGCAAACAAAAATTCAAGGTTCAGTGCCCTTTTCCAGCCTTGCGTACGAGGATGCGGAAGCCTCTGAACGCAACGGCACTGGCAAGCATATCAGAGCGCCACGTGCGGCAAGAAGTCATGCGCTCAGAGCTGTCAACCGGCCGATCACAAATCCAAACGAGCAATTCGAGGCGATCGCTCCCGGGCCCTCACTGTGCCTCAACACCTGCCGCCGGAGCAGGACGCCCGTCCAGCTTGGACTCAGGGAGTGACCCCAGCGCTGCAAATGCCCCGCACGATCAAAAAGGGCGCCCAAGCCCGTGCCGCCGCGATCATGCCCGGCCGTCGCCGCTGATGGCAATCAGACCCCGAACTCCGGTCTCCATCGATCCATCGCGAGCGCCCCTCGCCCCCGCGCGATGCGCCCAGGCTGCGATTGAGGCGAGACCCGCAGCGGCAGCAGGCGCGGCCAACCGCTGGACGCCGGCCCACCTGGCCGCCATGAGCGGCTTCCTCCTTGCTCCCCGCAGGCACGGAAGACATGACGGCTGTGGACTTTCAGATTTTTGTCGCTCGGCGGCCTTTGCGGTGTCGCCGCGTCCCTGTGGGCAGTCCCGGCGGGCCGTCGCGGGCCGCCCAAGGTGCGAAACAAACCACAGCGGGCGGGGGCTGGCCGAATCGATTTGAATCCGAATAGGCGGTCATCTGGGTGCAATACGGACTTTAATGGACATAGATCGCTGTGGGCGGGGTCCGCGGCGTATTTGGTATCGGCATGAGATTAGTCGCTCTGTCTCGGTCCATCTTGTTTCGGACACCCCGAACCCTAAACGCAATGACCCCCTGACCGACGTTGGCCTTGTCCGTGGAAGGAGAAGGGATCCACACAGAAAAGAGAGAGGGACTGATATATTATGTTAGGTATTTGCTCTGTGTGTGGTGCTGACGAAGGCATGACATGCAAAGAGTCTTATTGGTGGGCGCATCCGCAAAAGTAGGGGGTTCGTGGCCTGCAAAACGCATATGTGAGAAACAGACGTGAGGTTGGGAAACAAGCAGTCGAAGGGGATACCAAATCAGCAAACTGATTTTTATGGAAGACTTTGCATTGAATGGAGCACACTTGGCGTCCAACAAGTGTCAAGCCCAAACACCACCCCACCCGCCGTCAACACTTCTTTGATGCATGTCACAATGCTGAACAACAGTATGTTGTCTCCACTACAAGAGTCTCGAACGATTTCCAATTCTTGCTTTAACTGTTAAGATCGACCCAATGAGTCGATTCGTCACCAGAATTGGATTCCCTGGTTGGATTTAGGTAAATGCGAGACTCCGTTATGTTGGTAACCAGCATACAAACACAATTTCACAGCCTTGTCAAAAAGGCTCTGGTCCAACCCCACATGGGCCCTCAATCCCCAACATTGTTGCTTTGGCCTTATCGCGGTACATCTAAATCCTCTACCTTTATGATTGAAATACTTTCTGTTCGCTCCTCACGGAAGTGAGACACTTCGCCACGGATTCCTCTCATGTTGGGGCTCCCATGCTGTGGAAGCACTTGACCCAATGCATGTTCCATCAAGAGGATGGTTTGACCTTGTCGACCAGGTCGAGCAATTGGGAGGAAGGACCAACAGTTCAGGAAATTTCTTGAGCGCAGAATCTTGGACCAGCGCATAAAATCTCGCACGTTTGGGCTTGCAGCGCGGCCACTCTTGTGAGGTGAGTTCAGTGAGAGCGTCCGCGCGGCGGACCGGGGTCCCCCCCGCCCCTCCCCGGGCACAGAGCGGCTCGAGACAAACTTGTGGGCCCCAGCTTGGGCGCTCCATCGAAAGACATGAGCACCGCCCAGTCTCCCAGCCGCGTTCCAACACAAAACAGAGGATCCAGCAAACAGAAATTCGCCACGTTGAGGCAATCTGCGCTTAGAGAGATCTGGAAGGTCGCAGGGAAGGGACGGGGTGGGAGTGGGGGAAAACTGCTCCAGCGCCATTGTTACCTGGCGACCGCACAACACCACCACTCTGGAGGTCGAAAAAGGATGGGCGGGGCAAAAGTGGCGGCGTTCCCGCGCGGCAGCCGCCCTCGACCGCCGCCAGTCCAAACCCCGCCGGCCCTCCACGCAGCCCGCCCACCCACAAGCGAGCCCGAGCTCCGAATGGGGACGGAGCGACGGATCGGAAGAATGACAGCTTCGGGGGGGCGGAGCAGCGCCGACGGCGCCCGCAAGCCTCCCCCGTCCGGGATTCGGCGGGGGGTTGAAAGAGGAGGCATTCAGGACGCCCCCGGCAGGCGAACGCCCCCGGCTGCCCTGCTGCCCTTCCCACGAGCCGGGCGCCGGCGACCTGTTGGGCGAGACGCGGCTTCAAACACGGGAAGCTACGCACCCCGCGGACGTTATCTGGCATCAACACCGCCAGGTAGAAGTCCGGCGCGGAGGGGGCCTGCGATCGGCTTCGGCGGCCTCGGGGTCCCCCGGACGATCGGCAGCGCAAGGCGGCGGACCGCCAAACTGGCCTCCATCGCGCATGCCTCACACGAGGGCCAGGGCCCTCACGTTGACGCTGCTGCTCCGCGGCGCGGCGCCCTTTGGTTGATTTCCGCGCAGCCGGCGGCCGGCGCCAATTGGCGCGGGGGTTGCCGACTCGCCAGGGTGACATGCCGAGCGGCCCCGCCGCCTGGAGACACCAAGGCAGGCCGGTTCGCACCGCGAATGGGGTTTGATCGCCGGAGGCAAAAACCGGGAGGGAGAGGGACAGGGTGGGGGTTGGGGTGGGGATTGGGGGGGGCGGGGGGGATCACGGCGGCCCGAAGCGACCGGTAGAGCGCCCCCCTCCCAGCAGCCCAACCAGCGACAAAGATGTACTCCCGTTCCGCCAAGCGACGCCTCCCCGCATCGCCAGGCCCGCGGCCGTCCGGCAAACGCCGGCGCCGGCCGGCGGCCGCCTGCCGGCAATGTCTCGGGCGGAGCCTTGCGAAGGTCCAGCACGGACGGTCGGAAAACGCCCCAGCTGCCGCGAGGACCAGACAAGGCTCGGCGGAAGAACGGGGTCAAGTTGTTTCCCCGCCTGGGGTTGCTCACACCCGTCCAGACCCACCGGAGGGGCGCAGCCGAGTCGGTCTGGGCGACACAAAAATCGCCGAAACGGGATTGGCGGGCGGGGTACCCGGCCCCCTGTGTGGCCCAGAGGGGAGCCGGCTCGAGACCCGGTGGTTTAGTAAGGCGTTGTCCGGGGGTCCGGGGGGTGGCTGGGGGCTATTTATACGGGGGGCCTGAGAGAGCTTGGCGCGACGCCCGTTGCGTTCGCCAGGGCCAGCGGGCCCGCACACACCATGGAGAGCGACGACACAGACGACACAGACGCCCGGGATGACACCGAGGTGAGGGTGTGTTGGATTAGTCATCGGTAAGGGCCGCGCCAGGTGAGGGCGCCAGGGGGGCATGCGGCGTGTAGCCGGCACCTATGGTGCGGTCAAAGGTAGGTGCTACAGTGTGCGTAGCATAGCAGTATGTAATAGGACCAATATGCAGAGCACGCTTCCGGGTGGCGTTGGCCGTCCCTTGGCTGTGGGCGCTGCTGTGCGCCAGGCACCAAAACCCAATACCGAACCGAAGTCAGGGACACCCTATGAGGCGGCCCCAACCACAGCAACGGCCGTGTGCCTATGTTGAGGCACCCGCGCCTGATATGAAGCTGCCAGCGGAGCAGAGTAAATGTGTGGCGGCCTGTACAGGCTCACAGTTACATACAGCTTCCTGCTGCACAACGTCCACCCCATTCCTGGCAAAGCTATCTGCCATTCTAATCCTAGCCAGTACTAATGGTGGTTTTAGTAACAGGGAGACAGCATCGAGACCCATTCCACCACCACCATGCATTGGCACCGATGTGCGAATCGCCACGTACAAGAATATATATGTAGGTGACAGATACCCGTTGAATACTCACCCACCACTGCCATTGTACCATTTGGTATCCTGCTAGCTATATAACGATCTTCCATTTCTGTTGCTGCGCGATGTGCGTACCGTGAAATGCCAACACTCTGGATACCATATCTTAGATGACGACTGGATGGGCAGCAAACATGTGCCTGTATCCCATGCCAGGCATAGTAGTTCTGATTGCAATGTACGATTCCCAGAAGTCCCCACATATTCGAACCATTTTGCAAGGGACCATTGCCCTGCCACCACCAATCACAGTTCTGCAATCGACCATCTGGCTGACTCGCTGCAACTTGATGGATGTTCAGGTCCAAGTTGCCGCTCTTGAGAAGCAGCAACAATCAAAATTCGCCTGTGGCTGTGGCACAGAATCTGCTGCACTCTAGCACACAGATAGAGAGAAGATGGGGAGTCCCATTTGTTGTCCGACTTCTGGGAAACTTCCACCATCGCTCAGTGCTATCTGGTACATCAATACTGAAGTGCCCCGTGCATTGCTTGGCGCTGCAGGCATGTCCTGAATGAGCACTACTTTTTGTGCACAGTACCCTGTCTTGTGTTTCCTGCATATGTAGTCTGAGTTCACATTTTTGCTGTTGCCCTGACATCCTTTGGCAATGGTTGTGCAGGACTTTTCCTATGAAAGGAATTGCCAAAGTCGTGAAGTGCGAGCGATCGGGCCATTCAACAAGAAGAAAGGTGGACTGGGCCCCTGCAAATGGGTTTCGTGGCTGCGTGCATATTCACTCAGGGCGATGTAACACACATCGACAAAGGATGGCAGCAAATAAAGATTCCAGAGAAACGTCCCGCACACCACCTGCTCGGCATCGCCCCGTAAAAGCTCATCTGAAACAACTGTACAGTTTGCAGGTTGATTGTTGGGCCATGACAAAATTCAGCTCCAGAAGCTCACATTTCCAGCCGTGGTCCTTACTTGCAGGAGTGATGTCCTGAATCGCTTAGTCTGCAAGCAAACCACAGCGGAACATACAGAACCATACTTTATCCAGCCAGTTGTTTTCACAACAAGAGAATCCAGCAGCTGGGAACTTGGTGCCTTGTGTGTCTAGAAACAATTCCAAAGGATTATATGCTTTCCTTGTGCTGTGCAGTTGTTGGTGGCTTCCATGCTGAAGCGAATTTGTCTGTTGTTGCAGAGAAAATTGCCGAGTGTACAGTTGTTCGGTGCAAGGTAACATCGGTGGTGGTGCTGTTTCTGTGCATGGGACTGTTCAGGGTGCCTTATGTGATGTTATGGCATCTCGGTGCTGTTGTGTCTTCCCAAGTTTCTCGATCAAAAAGCCCAGCACATGGTTTAGATCCGTCAAGCCACCATTTTCTCAAGTGGCAGTGCGGTACCTATTGGGATCTCGACCTGTATGGCTTGATTAATGTGAAATAGGAACATAAACACAAAATTGAGCTTTGTTGTCAAGGCCACTCAAATAATGCCCCCTGTTTTTTGCTGTTGTGCCTTTGTTCTGTGGGTAGAATGCAAATCGTGTCAATGTCCTGGCATTCTAATTGCTAGATGTGACATTTGCTTGCAGGCTGTGGAGATAAAAGACCCGTTTAACAGTTCAAAAGAAGATGATGGGTCATGGCGGAGGGTTCACAAAGGAACGTCTGTGCTGATCAGCGGTGAGTGAGTTGTGGCTTGCCTATGTTTCATGGGTTGTAATCTCTTGGAAAGGTTGCAATCCCTGCGCAGTCAGGGTGTCAGCATTGGTGAGAATCTGTCGGCAAGAACCTGTTGAGATTGGATTACTAGGAATCGTGCAGATATGGCCAGCAAAGTACTGGGCTTGCTGTGCAGTGATGTTAACAGAACAGATTGATGGCTTTCTGTCAGGATCGTGCCTAGCACAATGGGCTCAACAGGCAGCTGGCACACTGTGAAGAAATGTGTATTCGGGATTCATTGCAACAAAAAGGAGGAACATGTTGTATAATGGGCACATATTTCAGAGCAAAAAGGACTGCAGGGACTATGTTGAGGACTTGAGAGGCTTGTGTATACTTTATGACGTGTTTCACTTTCAACAATCACAGTGTTGAGCATCGGCTTCCCTACAACTCCACAGGAGAGGATCAGAGCCCGATGATGGCACTGGTTCACGAGGTGTATAAGGTGATCTGCGAAGACGATGAAGAGGAAGAGGACGCTCTCATGAAAGTGACATGGCTGTATCGAGACAAGGAAGTGAAAGCCAGGAACAAGAGACCATCGTCGTGCAAGGCGGGGTCAGTGATCAACAAGAAAAAGGAGTCGGGGTCGGTCAGGGAGGTGAGGATGCCTGTGGTGATGTTGCCCCAATACACTACAATGCTGCTTCCAGTCCCTTTGCAAGCCTTTTCAGCATTGAATTATAATGTCCAGGAACAGAAAAGGGCAGAAAAGGGCAGTGAGCAACGCAGTGGAGCTGGATGATTGCCTTGTCCTGGTGCACACTGAACCACTGGTCCAGGGGAAGCAACATTGTGTGCTTGTGCTGACATGTTGCCACGCTTTGTGGATGTGTAGTTGTGCATTTTTCTAAAAGGTCAGAGATGGACAGCATTGGCTGGTGCTGAGCTGAATGAGAAACTGAGTTTTCTTTGGTGCACTGTGACTTCTGAGTATTTCGTCCCTGCAGTATTCCCTCTTCTTGAGGTAACAGAAGTCACCGGAGACAGAGTTTTCTTTACAAATTGGCAGGCAGTGCCTTGAGGTGCTTATGGCCCTTGTGCAATGGGCTGCAGGCAGCATTGGCACTTCCTAATTCCCCAGCTTTGTCTGGTATGGGTTTTAGCCTGTCTGCCAGTAGCACCAACCACATTGGGGGCATGAACAGCAAATTTGTCTGCTTTGGGTTTGCAGGGGAGAGTTGACGATGTTGAAGTGTTATATTGTAGGTGTTCTACACAGCCCACAGTGACCATGTGCTAGCCCATCATGTGATACATCCCTGCCTGGTGAGCACCTCGTTGCATCTTTCCGCCCATTTGACCTTTCTGCCTGTGATCCTTCTGGTGTACACTTCAATCGACTTCATCTCGTTGCCAGCCTGGACAATTTGAATTTTGAATCGTTAGAATGGCAAGAATGATCAGACAGCATCACTTTTCCTCCCAGTGCATAAGGACCTCACCATGCTTGACTGTAGAACAAACCCACCCCTATGTTCTAAACTCAGAGAAAACCAAAATATCTGAAACATCATGATACCATGCGCATGTCGTTGTTCAGGTGCACTTTCAGCGTGTAAAAGACCAGCTACCCTTTCAGACAATCAAGATTGGCCAGCACACACTTCAAAAGCCGATGAAAGGTTTCATATGTCGACGTTTCTTTGACACCAATGGCAAGAAATGCTACAGCCTGGATGATGTGGCCGATGACATCAGGGCTATCACCTTTGAGGATCACCTTGTCCTGGAGGCAAGTCGACTGGTTGCATCATTATCCCCATGTTGTTATCTACCCACCAAGCAGGCAGCTCTCCATGCTGGTGTGAAAGGGGGACAGTCTTTTATGATGTTTCTGGACTTGCTTGGAATTGCTATGACCTTATCGCATGCTTTGAGGATGCTGCTTGTGAGTACTGTTTGTGTTTGAGGTGATCTCTGGCCGGAGCTGTTTGAAAACGATGAAATAAACTTGCCACTGGCCTTACAACTTATGATGATGACACAGCATTGTGGAGAATAAAGAACAGAAGAAAGCTAAAGCAGCAATTTTTATCTGTTGGGGAATGAGTGGTTTGCCTTGTCGTTGTCCACTGTGGAGATTTCCTGAATCACAACTTGTTTGCTCAGTAGTTTGCATTCAAAACGTGACACCAGCACTACATCAGCGCGATTTGTTCCTCCACTTACCATGTCACAAGCTGTGAAATAGCTCACCACCCAGGTTGCGATCTCAAGTTTGTGCTGTGTGTTAATAACAGGTGCAAGAGCTCCTGCAGGCCACACATCGGCAGCTCGATGCATGGCTGCAACACACCCCCAGATGGTACCCAGAAAAGCAGCCCTCTGCTCCTGCTGGTGGCTCATGCGAACTCCAGGATAGCATTGGGAAGGAGGCTGTACCAGAGCTGCCTGCAAAAGCCAGCAACTCCATAGCGCAAAAGGGGTCATCAGAGGATATGAAAAAGCAACACAGGCTCCATGATAGTGCCAAAGATGTTCCATCAAGGAAACGGCCACGCCTTGATGATAACCAACGTATGTGCTGTGATTCCTGATCATATAGAATGCCTTTTTTGCCTCTGGCATCCCACTCCTGAAATTTGCATTTTGGATTTCCTCTACTTGTACACCTGTCTGTACTGTAGAGAACGTGCAGAAATCGCTGATTGCAGCATAAAGGTATACAGTGGTGAATATAGTGTGAATAGAAAGATCCAGTGAACGGATGACTCTATGAGTATGTGAAGGTTTGTGAATATGTGACATGATATGCTGCACATCGGTGTGTGAAGGTGCCATGCTTTTACAGACGCGTTTGCCAGGAAGAAGTACTGAAAAAATAGACAATGAGGCATGGTTGATGTAGATCATGTGCTCATGATTGTCCAGACATAAGCTGAACAAAAGTTGCATTGCTATGTTGAACCAGCACACTGTCTTGCTGTTGTTGACCTTCGTGCTATGTGGCCACTTCTCATATTAAAGTAGCCATTTTGACGCCACCATTGTCCCTTCCGCTGTGTTTTGTAACACAATTGGATAGCAAGGACTGAACACACTTATTCCAGAGTCAGCATGGATGCGGAGGGTTTTGATTCATGGTTTGTTGCTTTGGAGATGTTTGGCGAATGCCTTGTTTAGCTCCTGCAATTGTGTGCAGACCAATTTAGCTCATCGACATCTGCCGACAGTGCCATTGCTGGCAATTGGAACAGATTGAACTTGGCTGTGGAATCATGTCACCTTGTTCCAAAGGACAGTTTGATGCAGCCTTTGCAGCTGTCCAAATTGCTGCTTCTGCTATCATCCCAATCAACCTTGTGCCATGACACTGCAGGTGGGATGCCGAATCAAAAAGTCAAATCTGAGCACAGCCAAAAAGCATGGAGGCACCTGGAGCGGACTGTCTCTGATCCAGGTGCTTTAAGGTTAGGTGGGGACATTGCCAGCCTGACGCGACGGCGGTCAGTTGACTGTGGAAAGCATACCTGGGAGTCAGCACACGATGGCCATCACAGTGAACCTTCGGGGTCAGTGTCGCTTGCCTGCGACAGACGAGCACAGGAGAAGTCAGCTGAACACAATAAAGAGACAAAGCCAACTGCAAACAATAACAAGCGGCAGGTGAGATTGCTTGTTGTGTTTATTGGCGGCTGAGAATGCATTGTTGGAAACTGGTGGCAGGCTGTTTGTGGTGCTGATGACTAAACGGCTTGCTGCTGTTTGCGATGTTGCTGAGCCAGATATCAACCATCGCCAAGTGCGTATACCAGCTGGTGCCTTACTGAGCGCAGATGCTTTGTATAGGTGCTCTTCAACAGTGCATGTTTGAATTTTTTTGTTGCTGTGAAACAATGTGGTTACTTTATAGCCTGCCTTTCAGCTGGAGGGTGAGAAACAATGGTTTCTTAACAGAAATAGCTGTATCCAAGACAAAAACGTACAGACCAAGCATAGTCTTAGACCAGCGACAAGTGTGTTTGAAAGACAGCATACCTGTATTGGGCCGTGCACGAGCTGCAGTCTGGCTGTTGCATTATGGCCTGTGCTCACCCATTGCTTTGGGCCTCGAGTTCTTCAGGGGAGGCATGGGCTTCTATATACTATATAACTTTGCTGATATGTGTTTGCCTAGGCTTCACCCCCTGTGCAGAACGATGAGGACGAAGATTCTGATGACAACATGTCGCTGATGCAACGACACAAGAAACAAGCTCTCGCAAGAAGTCGACTGGCAGGCAGCCCAATGGACCTTTCCAAATTCATCAAGAAACATGGCGACATGTTTGATGTGAAAATCCCCAAAGAGTTCACACATAGCGGGGAAACTCGGACTGAGCTCGTTTTTGGGGGGCGGTTCAGATCCAGGGCAGAAGCTGAGAAAGTGTGCCTAACTGGTTTGAAAATGAGTCGCTCAGATTTGAAGAAGTATGTGAAGGCCAACGCTACGAAGTTTGGTGCAGACCCATCGACAGGCCGCCCACCTCCAGAGCCTGTCGAGGCTCCCATGCTGGACCCTAGGCTTGGGAACTTGAAGCGCAGTGCTAAAGGAACAGGTCAGTTGCCAGCAGAGTGGACGTGCTGATTTGTTGTGGATTTTCTGTGGGTGTTTGTCTGTGCGAGCAGTATGCTCCCATAGTCTGTTGGGCAATCTGTCTGTGCAAGAGATGTGTTTTGTTGATCATCTGCATGCCCAGAACACTAGTGCAGCAGGTGCATTCTTTCATTAGACATCCAAAACTTCCAAGTGCCAGCTCTGGGTTTCATGTGATGATAATGGTGGCTGTGGCCATCTGCCTAAGGTAAACTATCTAAGCATGGAAGCATATGTGTATGGCAGAGGGGTTGCGTGGACTGCCTAGAGGGCAAAAGAGACAGAAGAGACTGAGGCAGAAGGTATGCAGTGTGGAAAATCTGCCAAAGTGCAGCTTGCCCTCCATAACAAACAAATGATGACTTGCAATTCTGGTAAACCTCCTGCAAGAGAAGATCCTGCCATATTGCCATGCCGACCTTGAAATGGACTTAACCCAAGGGTGTTGTGAAGTCAGCGCCAACCCCCCTCAAGGGTGTTGTGCAGTCAGCAAACACGATTGCCAAACTGTTGTTATAGGTTCTAACACCACATGTGCCTGACGCCAGGGTGCTCCAGGTGGGGAGACTGCCTCCACTTCCCAGCCTCCTGGTCCGTCTCCCTTCAGCCATCGTCCTGAGCAAGACACACCAGATTTGGAGGACAGTCCCTTGCAGGATCCGAACCGTCCACGCCTGGGAGCCTCCGTCAACGTTGCATCTACAAGCTCGCCAAGTTTGGCTGATGGGCCAGGAATGCTGGCTTTCCCCCGGCAACCCCCCACCAGCCGGTTAGGTGCAGACAAACCTTGTCGCCTCCCTGCAGCTGCTGCAGGGGAGGAAGCATCAGTGGCTGACAGCTGCAAAGCAACAGGCGACGTTGGTGTCAAGCCAAGCGGCGTTGCACTCCAAGATGGTGGCTCCGATGGGCCAACATCAAAAGGTGAAGTTGGTGTTGCACTCGACATCGACATGGATGTCAGCAAGGACCCCGATGTAGTTGTGGAAACTGATGTAGCTGCTGGTGCGAATTATGGTCGAACACCTGCAAACTCAGTTCCAGGCACTATGGATACAGAAACCTTACTGCAGACAGCTAGTAACAACAAGGGCGCGCCGGGCCCCGACAACGAGAAGGTGGAACAAGACCAGAATCTGCATGCCAAAGATTGGAAAGAGGCTGATTTGGCAGTGGGTGGGGCACCCCCAATTGGGGTTCAATCTGGGAAGGATGAGCCTCCTGAAGTAGGAACCCTCAGTCAAGGGGCCACAAGAGACACCCAGCAGTTGAGTGGTTATGTTTTCCGAGACTGCCTGATTTGCATGGAGCCTGGGCTTGCGGAGTGTTCAGAGTTCGGAAAGGGGTTCTTGGAAGAGACCATCTACAAAGGCTTGTGGGATAGGTTTGTCCGGGACCTAGACAGGGGCATGAGCGCAGCACTCGTTGTCAAAGTGGACAGGGACAGCAACCAGTGCAACATGCTGCTCAGCATAAGGCAGTCTGAAAAGGCTGGCAAGGCAGGTGGGTTCAGATACACCATGTTTGCCACGAAATGGGTGTTGGCCTGGCCCAAGACAGAACTGAGAGACGGGTGCCAGGATATGCAGGAGGATGGGTCCAACGGGGCCCCTGCTGACTTTTGTGCTTCAGGCCAGGGTGCCTACATAGAAGATGACAGCAGCGTGATCATGGGGGGCTACATCGGCATGGGTGGCTTTGGCGTGTGGCTGACTGTGGAGGCCTTGGTGCAGCTGGGATACCTTGAGGAAGCACTGCAAGCGAGTGCCAAACAAGGAGAGCTGCCTGCAGCCATGTCTGTGGATGGCGAGGTGTCCAGCTCGAGTGATGGGGATGGGGACAGCGAATCCACATCGGATGTGGACATTGGCATTGGATGAGGCTTGGTGGAATTCTTGGGAGCGCACAAAGAATGAACGTGATGAGCATCGCCGTAGCGCAGAACTCTAGATGCAGGCTTGTATCTGAATGTACTATTGAGACGATATTGCATAGTACCATAGTACATTGAGGGTGTGATTTAATCCATATTCCCAGCATATCAAAATGCTGTTAACCCCCTTGTGTTGTGCGCATTCCATCTTCTGCATCATTGCAAGTTCCTGGCACAGCACCGGTGCACCATACCTGGACCATACACAGTATACTTGGTCCGCTCTGTGGCAGACCAACAGTTTGCCACGGGATGTTACAGATTGCAAGGCCGCTTCGCAACAACCAACATCCTGGCGCCCAGCGGCCTGCAATGAGAGTGTGCTGCACATTCGGCCCGTTGAAAAATACAGTACCGGTCCAAAAGGCGACTAGCTGCAATCAACCAGGAGTAAATTGTCATGAAACGTGCCGCAATGTACGGAGCACGGCGGCACCTTGTCAAATTCCTTGAAATGCATGTTTCAGAACAGCGTGACAGCAGCGCCGTTGCAGCTTGCAGGCGATGGATTGTGCGTGCCCACAGGTGGATTTTTCGCACAGACAGATACCAGCACAATGCGTTCAATGTCCCACGATCGTCATTCGGCACCACGTCCTTTCTGGGTGTCCCTCAACGAGCGGCCATTCACCCCTCTGCACTCATCCACCGCTGGTGCCACAGCTTCTCCTCTCGCCTATGGTTCTGACCTTGCTTCCCTGTCCCTCACACTCGTCCGGAGGTCTGACATACTTCATGCAAACGATCTTGACGGCATGCAGCAGGCCGTGATTCAGTACGGGCCCTGCACCTGCCCCCACTAGGATTGAACGAAGGTTTTCCCGTCTTATGGAGGCGGGTGGGTACAGATGGGTGGGTAGGGAAGGGAGGGGGGGGGGCAGGGGAGGAATAGTGCTGAATATCGGCTATTGACAGCCAGCGTGTCAGTCCAATAATGCTCACTAGCTTTCTGAGAGGAAGTCACGGTAACCAGTTAATCTGATTAAGAATTTGTCCAGAATGTGGTGGCCCTCGATCGCAATAAGCGAAAGGACAAGGAAAGGCATTTGCAATGGATTTTGAGCGGGGACGTCGGAAGCTGCACAGTCACTGATTTTCCCGCCATACGGAACTGCCAAGAGCACTCTTTGCTTGACCAGAAAGTCAGGGATGCAAGTGAATCGACAACACGCATCAGTGCCCATTTCTGTGACATCCCCCAGATAGGGCAAATTCCACGCTTAGTGCCTACAGTACTTGGTCTGCTACATGGGCTCCCATATAGTAGACCAAATACTGTGGGCACTAAACATGGAATTTGCAGTGTACTGATAACCCTACTATTGTTACAGCGAGCGCGCCCAGGAGAACGCGCGACATGCATTCAGCTCCAGGGATGCGGCTGGTCCGGAATCGCCACATTGTCCCGGGGCATTTCTCCAGAAATCCAGGGAGTTGTCAGCAAGGCTTTCTGACGATCCGAAATGCACTGGGTGCCTGATCATAGTGCGTTTGACACTGAGCCGTCCAGTGCACATTGCACTTGAGAGGCTACTGCACCCGTTGTTTCCCAGCGTAAGCTGAGTCCATGCCTAACTTGTACTGCATTGCATTTCACTTCATTCATGAAGTGTGTAATTACTTCTGTGATGCAGTTTGCGCAATTCCAAAGCGCTTTATCTCAGAATATTTACTTTGTGGGGAACACCTTGCAAGCCTTGAGGTCAAGGGAGCTGAGGAGAGTAATGGGATTAACTATCTTGTTAAGGGGTTTCCGCCCAGGGCGACGAGGGGCGGGCGCGCTGGCCCCCTTGGGCCAGCGCTGCTTAAAGTACGATGGTTTTGGCGGCCCCTTGGGGTTTCTGTCCCCTTGTACCTTGGGTCAGTGGCTGGTTTGTCGCGTTCAAGGAGGGCCAGTGGTTTTTGGCGCCCTTGGGAGCGGCGGGCTTTGGCGGGCGCGAGCGGGGAGGCTACTTAGGCTCACCCCTCGGTCCCCACCTTATCTTGTTTCGCTTCGCGCCAAACCTTTGGCACAACCCGGACGCACAGAGTGGGTCGCGACCTCCGGCTATTTGCCGAGTTCTTGCCTATGAACCCGTCCCGGAGCAGTGGTGCCGGGACCAAGCTCGCCGGTTCAACAACCGTATTCCGACCTCCGCTATCGAAGCCTGCTGGTTGCCCGACCCGGCGCTCCTCCCTCAGTCAGTCAACAACCCGGTCGCCCGACTAGTGGGCGCCCGCTCCCCGTTTTGGTTTGACGTCCGCGACACCGCCGAGGGGAGTGCGGTCGCCAACTCTTTGGGCGCCAACTCCGGGTATTTCCAGGAGTACGCGGGCTGGGCTCCTCCGGTCTCCTGGCTCTTCGACACGACCGCAGCCTTCGTGGAGGTGGCCGCCCATCCCGATCTCCCGGCGTCCGTACGGGAATTCCTCCTCCCCTACCTCTACTCGTACGTGGAGGTCACCGAAGCTCTCCACGACCAGCTTGCCTTGCAGCGCATCCACGCCAAGCACAAGGGCTCGGGCTTGGAGGGATCGTGGCGGGCCATCCAGGCGGAGATCCACATCGCCGACCGCGGTCTGCGCTTCGGCACCGTTCGCATCGACGGGACCATCGAGCGCATGCGCAAGGAGCTTCTGACGCAAGAATTGAAGCACGCCACCAAGACCGCGGCCGCCAAGAAGTCTACCTCCTCCCCGGCGACCTCCGCCCCCGCGACCGGACACAAGGCCCACAAGGGAGCTCGTCCCCCGGGCCCATCCCCCAAGCCGGCGCCGTGAAGGACTTTCCGTACAATCGAGTCCGCGGACGCCTCTCGGCATGGTGTCGCATCGGCGCCCCCTCCCGCATCCTCCAATGGATCCATTCCGGGACTCCGCTCATGTGGGGACCGCGTGGGCCCCCGGCTCCCTTCGACGAGGGCTCCTACCCGCTCCGCTCTCCGGAGGAGCGAGCGGCCTGGCAATCCCTCCGCGCGGAGTACCTTTCTTCGGGGGCGATCACCACGGTGGAGCCGGGCCCCACGTCGCGCATCTCTCGGGCCTTCCTGGTGGCGAAGGGGTGGGAAAATGGAGTCATGAAATACCGCCTTTGCATCGATCTGCGACGGGTCAACCGTCACCTTCGCAAGGTGGGCCTTCGTTACGAGAAATTACGTGACTTCGGTCACTTGCTCCGCCGGAATGACTCATTGGTGGGCTTTGACATCAAAGATGCTTATCACCATCTGCGCGTGCGTCAATCGGAGGAATATTTCCTCCAATTTTGGATGGAAGACGAAGTTTTCGCTTGTAGGGCTCTCCCCTTTGGTCTTTCTTTGGCCCCTTTCTTTTTCACCCAGTTTATGCTTGTTTTGGGTCATTTCTTGAGGTCCCCCGGCAGTTGCCCCAAGGCAGCTCGCCATTTCCGTTTTGGGTGCTTAGCAGGGGATGACTCAATAGCTACATACTTTTGAGTGTACACTAGCGAACCGCCAACTATTCTGCTGGCGTATCTTGATGATTTTTTGGCGGCCATGCATGATGCCGCCCGTTTGACCCGCTGGTCCGGGTTTGTCCGGGGTGTGTTTGCCTCGCTGGGCATCCAATTCAAGGAGCGCAAATGTCAATGGACCCCCGTCATGCGCAAAAAACATTTTGGGGTGATTGTGGACACGGCCCATTGCCGTTTTGAGGTTCCCCCGGAGAAGGCCGAATTGATCGCCAATCAGGCCCGCATTTTGCGATCCTGCCACTGGGTTGTGGCCAGGGATTTGGCCCATTTTTGCGGCCTCGCCATTTCCCTTTATTTGGCGTTTCCTTTGGCCCGTTTCTTCTTGCAAAGCCTCTACGAGGTGCTTCGTTCCAAGCGCAGCTGGCAAGATCGCCTGATCCTCTCCCCCCAAGCCAGGCTGGACTTGGAGGCGTGGATCAACATCCGCCGTTGCGAAGGCCGTCCTCTCAACCCCGATGCGGTCCCCTTCGCCGGCACTCTGGCAACGGATGCTAGTCTGACCGGTTGGGGGGCCACCTTTGCTCCCCCAGGGATATCCCGCCCCCTCCTCGCGAGGGGGTTTTGGGACCGTTCCTTAACGCACATCAATGTGCGTGAGATGCAGGCGGTGGAGCGGGCCATTCGCAGCTTTTTTCCGGCTGCTTCCCATGGCCTTCCTTCGAGGCTCAAGCTGTTGGTCGACAACCAGGTGGTCATGTACTGCCTGCGCAGCATGACTACCCATTCCAAGCAGCTCATCGCCCCCCTTCGTCAGCTGCACCGCGTCTGTACGGCCCGCCACCTCCTGCTCGACCCCAACTACATTCGGTCAGCGGACAACGTCATCCCGGACCGGTTGTCCCGGGTGCGGGTGGCAGACGACTACCAGCTGCACCCGACCATTTTTCGCAGCCTGACTCAGCGCTTCGGTCGCCAGACGTGCGACCGCTTTGCTTCCGCGGCGAATTCCCTCTGCCCACGGTAAAACAGTCTGCACGTGGATGTGGGGAGCACGGGGACAGACGCCTTTCTCCAAGACTGGACGGGGGACACCAACTGGTGCAACCCCCCTTGGTGCCTCCTTCCCCGGCTCGTCTCCTTCCTCGCTGCTTGGCCCGCAGTGGAGGCCGTCGTCGTCGTGCCGGATTGGCCGAGCGCGCTTTGGTTTCAACCGCTCCAGACTCTTGCAGCGGAGGACCTTCTGATTCCCCGCCATCCAGGGATGTTTCGCCCCGGGGATCCGAGTCTTCCGGCGGACCTTCCTCCGCCGAGGTGGAATCTTCGGGCGTTCCACATCCGCCCTCGGACGGCTCCCTAGCGGCGGGTCCCAGGCCTTCCGCCGGGGGGCCCGACCTTCCCCCGGATGACCCGCTGCCGGTGGAGCCCATGCCGCCGGACCATCCCCTCTACGGGCTCGATGTGGATGGCCTGCTTCAATCGGACTGCGCATGGATGCAGTCCCAGTTTTTGTCTTTCTACACGGAGTCGGCGCGGCG